TCAGTGTAGGAGACATAATTTTTGTCCCAACTCTCCAAAAAGTCTTGAGCATCCAGACCTATTTGCAATAGCAGTTGGAGGAAATACTAACTCAACAAGTATTCATTACTTTGTGTACTACAGCTGTTGCTATAATCCGGGTACTTAGACAGAAGCTGCTTGCTAAACACAATAATAAACATTCATAATGCCTTAACAATGCCTCATATTTTCATGATGCTTAACTCTAACTAACTATAAAACATTTTATAGACATATATTCTTACTAAAATACCCAATTAATTTCCATGATACCTATGGAAGCAAAGAGAGGGTAAGTTTTATTATTCCCATGTTTAGAGGTGATTCTTAAACCTTGCCTGGAGTTACATATTTGACTATTTGAAGAGCTGGGAGCAAATTGCAAGTCTTGACAATGGTGCTGTGTCTGACAGCCAGTGCTGCCTTCTGCTGATGGCATGGATTCATCAGACTCTGGTTAGTGCCCAGCCATAAATGCCTGAATTCAAAGTCCTTTTTAAATGTACACAACAGATTGTGAGGAATTATCGCCAATTAGAGAAGGACAACATAGCAAGGACAGTTCTACTGCTAGTGGCTTATGCATTTTAAACAAAAATGTAGCAACAGAGGGCCCTCCCTGGTGGCACAATGACTGCAAGCTAGCCACAGTCACTTCAGCATGAGTTCAAGTCCCAGCCCAGAGGTGACCCACATGGCGCTGCAGACCTCTCCTGTTCTGCCCACTGCTTCCCTCAGCAGTGTACTTCGTCGACCTGCCTGTTCTGCTCCCCACTTTGTCTCTGGTGACTCCTCGCGCCACACCTGCACCTCTGGCTTGTACCTCAATACTGTATGCATAAATAAATCTAAAAAAATGCAACAATAGAAAAGTAAAAAGGGACAAATTGTTAAGGGGGAGGATGTCTCCATCCTTGGGTCCTTGCAGTTTCCTCCCTTGCACTGCTGGGAGTTGTAGTTTCCAATCACTGGAGTAGTGGGGTGAGTTCAGAAAGCTGGAGTAGGAGGTGGAGTCCACAAAACTCTGTAGAGTTCCTTTAGGATATCCTTCCCCTTAACACTATGTGGTCATTTCCCCCTCTAAACTGAAGGCAGAAAATGTGAGATTTATTTTTAAAAAATGTATTTATTTATGCATATGAACTGAGGTACAGGCCAGAGGTGCAGGGGCTATGTGAGGATTCACCAGAGACAGAATGGGGAGCAGAACAGGTAGACTGAGGAAGTACACTGTTGAGGAGAGCAGGGGTGAGTCAGGAGGGGACTGTTGCACCATGTGGGTCACCTCCCTGGCCAGGGATCCTGCTTAAGGAGCAGCGGCGAGCTTCATAATGCTGAGCTTCAATCGGTTGCGTCACCAGGGAGAGTCCAGAAAATGTGAGATTTTAAGGAAAGAAAAAACCAAAGTACAGAGGATAGGTTCTAATTTCTGTCCCAGCACACTTGTCCTTGATTTACCCTGTAATCTCCAGGTAAATTTTAGGATTTTTTTGTTTATCACCAGGAGAACCCTAATAGTCACTGAAGTCAGGAATCTTAGTTTCTGGTGTAGGAATGAACAGATTGTTGAATGTTTCCACTCAAAGACTTTGGAATCAGCCAACTATGTACAGCTTGATTTTCTGGTTAGCCTTGCTTTGGAAACTGGGTTGTGGACTAGTCAGGTGAATTTCAAGGATCATCCAGGGGGCTCATGAGATCTTGTTCCTGTTACTCAGGTTTTGTGGGTCCAGATTTTTTTAGGGGACAAATTGCCATGGCCACATGTAAGCCTCTTTGCTTCATGAGTGCTACTTGACTTTGATTATAGTTTCATGGGAGATGTCTTCTGCTTATAGAACAATTAGATCCATCTACCACAATCAGGTAGGTTACCTTCTAAAGGTAGAAGAGTCATTCATCTGAACCTAAATCACCTACTTTAGAATAGCTGTTTTGGCCACTACTTGCACCAGTACATGCTTTTAGTGTTATTTAAAATATATATTTAAAAAATATTTATTTATGCTTACAGAATTGGGGTACAGGCCCGAAGTGTGGTGGGTGCGAGGATTCACCAGAGACAGAGTGGGGAGCAGAACAGGCAAACTGACAAAGTACACTGCTGAGGGGAGAGCGGACAGATCAGGAGAGGTCTGCCGTGCCATGCGGGTCAGCTCCCTGGCTGGGGATCCAACTCCTGCTGCAGTGACTTCGGAGAGCTTCATAATGTGGTGCTTTAACCTGTTGCGCCACCAGGGAGAGCCCTTTGAAATCATATTTTAATGACAGATTGAGACATGGAGATGATTAATTTTTCCACAGTTGTCTTGACAACAATAGAATTTATGATATTCTACGTACTCGAGAACCCTAAAATTTTATAATCAAGCAATAGATGGTAATTAACACTTAGATCAAAAAAGGTACAGGAAAAATTTTTAAAAGTTGGGTGGAATTAAGAGTGACAATTATTTAAACTTTTTTTGGATCAACAATAATGACTGCAGGACAATAACTAAATTTAATTTCAAGGGCAGCCAATTCTCTGGAGATTCTTATATTCACTTCACCCAGAATTTACTTTTACTAAGTTGCAATTTTTTAGATCGTCTGTTTACACACAGTTCCTTCACGCTGAATTATTCTATGAACTTGTAATAAAGTGGAAACGGATTTCCCCCCATGCATTATAGTCTTAAAATACTTATGGAAAACAATTAAGAAAATCTTTTTTTTTGTTACCGAAAAATCCAAACATGTAGAAAATTAAGGGAAAAAGTTACAATGGGCACCCTAGAAAAGTGACTTCATTCAAGTTACTATTTTGCAAATTTTAGTTCAGCTTTACCTTTTTGGGGGGGGAGGGGAATTTCAAAGTAAATTATAAACTCTTTATTGACACAAGTCTACATCAAATGCTTATTTTGACCTTGTTTTCAGGAAAGCGTGAATGACTGTCTACATAAACAGCATTCCACTGAAACCAGCCAGCAGTTTTTTGGCTCTTGCTTAATCTGAAGAAATTTACATCATCAGAAAGCAAGCTTTCCCTTCTACTTCTAGGTGAGAATTAACAAAAATTCTCAGAGGATACTGTGATTTACAGAACCTTGCACTTAATACACTCAACACAGGCAGTCAAACTCAATTTCACTTGTTAAAGCTGAATTAGACAAAAGCATTTTCATAATCCCCCAGAGAGCAGTATAGAGTGCCTGGTCAAGAAGCCAGAAAAGCCTGACTGGAGCGCTTGATTGAAAATGGGATAGCATGGGTGCACAGTGTCCCCTTTGAATTCCTGGCCACCCACTGTGATTTGGGATATACTTTGCAATGTTACAATGTTTCATCTATAAAATGGGCCGCGGTAAAACAAAACTTGTCCACTAGAATCACCTGGTGGACTTGGTGATGAGCTCGCGGGACCTCACCTCTCGTTTCTCATTCTGTGGTTTGGAATTTTGTGTTTCTATCAGATTCTTAAGTGATGGTGACGCTATTGGTTCTAAGACCACAAGGACCCCAAATGGCTGAATGACTAACATCATCATTTGCTGCCCACAATTATGGGCTGTGGGAGTATTGCATTGCATGGAAGAAGGAAGGCCTTCCGTTCATCACACCATCAGCTAGATGCTTCTGCCAATACATCACACCTCGTTTGCAGGGAATAGATGAGGACCCGTAGCTGGAGCTACTGTGCTGCTGCTTTCCAAACGCAGACCTTTCTCCAATTTCGAAACCAGAAGCCACCTGCCGGAATCCAGTAGACAAGCCAAGGGGTGAGTGCAGTGATTCTGGCGCCCCTGGGCGGGGTGGCAGCAGTTGCGGGGCAGAGACTGGAGTCCGCAGGAGGGCGTGGCGGGGAAGATGCCACCACTCCTCCCGCGCTCTGGTCAGTTCCGATCGCCCGCGGCTGGATGGCCGAGCGGAAGATGGCTGCCCGGTGCGCTGCGGCCAGTCACGTGCCAGGAGATATAGCCGAGCGCCCTCCCACACTAGTGAGTCCCCGACCCCCACAGCAGGCGCAGTCCCGGGTGCCTCTTCACCGCGCGGATGCCAGTCGGGGAGAGAGGGTGCCACGACTGGAGGTCAGCTTTCCCTGCGGCCCGCCCCCAACCCGGGGGCTGGAGTCCGGCTCTGGGAGCCACGGAAAACCTTCCTTCGGGCGACCTGCACCAGGTCGAGCTTCTGGGCATGCGCGGTACTCCAACCCAGCAAATCCGCTCTCCGGGTTTTCCCCGCAACTTCAAGAGCGGGGTTGGAGGTGGAGTCGGGCCGGGGGTGGGGGGCGGTGCGGAGTTGCTGGCACTGATTAGAGCTGTTCAGGCCTTCGCTGCCCCGTAGGGCTGGGGCTGGGGGTCCACCGCGGGCGGCTTTATTGTTTTGGGGGTTGTAGTCCGTGCACAGAGGTTTGAAAATGGCAGACGTGTCTGAGGTTCGCCTTGTTTTAGAGAACAGCCAGGAGTTGATCACAAGTGTAGCCGCTTTTTAGCTCAGTCAGAATGAGTTATCTTCGGGCAACTAACTCAGTTTTCCAACCCAGGTCTCCAGAACGCACAGGTCGCGTTTCCTGTTCTGATTAGTTGCAGCTTTCCAAGTTTTCAGTTCTGCCCCAAGTCATATAGCAGTCTAGATCGGAAAACGTGGGTCCTTCGGCTTCACTGAAAGACCCCCTAAAAATGCGCAAGTTGGAGCTTTTCTTGTCGCTGACCTCCGCAGCCCCGATCTTTCCACGGCATGAGAGTAAAAATAAGGGGACCCAACCCTGGTGGCCCTGGAGTGCGCCGACAGGCTCCGGTCCCGCTGAGTGCCGGGATGAGCCCCTCGCGGACCCCGCCCTCCCGGCCGCCGCGAACACCCGGAGGAGCGGATTCGCGTCGTGCGGGAAGCCGGGCCGGCTCGGGCCGCGGACTGGGCATGCTCCGCAGCCGGGGAGGCTCGCTGTGCTAAGTCGGAAGCTTTCGCATCAGCAAGGCAGCGGCCCGGGCGGCGGCGGGCCGGACGGGAGCGGGAACGGCCGGCCACGGAAAGCTGTTCACCCTTTGCGTCCGGCGAGCAGCCGAGAGAGCGCAGTCTGGGTGCGGAGCTCCGACGCTGCCCTGCCCCCGATTTCATTCCGCGGTGGGGGGCTCGGCGAGCGGAATGCTGGCCGCTGCCGCGACTCCGGTCCAAGTGAGTAGTGGGGCGGGGGAAGAAAGCGCGTCTCCGGGGGCCGATTCGACACCCTCCTCCTAGGTCTGGCCTGACACCTGGGATCGGCGTGCGGGCAGCCCTGGGGCGAGGGGGCGTGAGCGCAGCCCGCGCGGAGCCGCGCGCGTACCTGGCGGGCACTCCTCCAGCGCGGCCGCTCCGGGGGGTGGGCGCGTAGGGCCGTCGGGCGACCGGCCTCTGGGCTTGGAGGGGTCGGGTTGCCCGCTGAGCTCCCGAGTCAAGTTGGGGCGGGGAGGAAGGCGGGGGCGTCAAGCGGGTACCTTTACGGAGGTGCTGCGTACGGGTTGGTAGGCTGCCTGGTGTCGGATTGGGGTAGAACCGGGGGATAAGGAGCCTCGGGCGGTGGCCGGGTTGCGATCTGGATACCCGCAGGGGCTGACCCCACATCACGGCCCCACCCCCACGGCCGGGGTGGCGGCGTGACAGTTGGTACCTCGGAGCCAGATCGCAGCTGGCCAGGCGTTCAGGGTTTCTCGATCTCCCCTGCCGTGGCCTCTGGATGCTCCCACACAACATAACAGGTGGGACCCCTCTTCGTGGAGCAGCATGGTCCTCTCCTTAGGCTGCTTAACAGCCTCCAGGTTTCGGGGGCGGCTCTGGGACTCCCCGCGGCCACCCGACTTGATGAGAGCGTTTAGGGGCAAGGCCTGGAGGAACCCTCGGAACAGCCAGGAAGTGGGTAGACGCTCCGGGGTGCAGCTCTCCCCCTGAGTTAGAGGGTCGCCTTGGTTCCGAGGCGGCTTGTCAAGGGCAGAGCAGTGACAGCAGCAACGGTCTGTCTCTCCCACTGTCTCCATCCATATTCGGGCCTGCTGCTATTGGTGGCCCAGGTAGGGTGCCCTGGTCCAGCTAACGGATTCAGCCTGGTGCGTTCTGCTTAACACTTTTTTCCCTCTTGGGAGTCAGAAGTCACAACTGGATTGAGGATTGCCTTGGCTGGTGGCAGTGAAGAGAATCCATGCCGTTGCTTCTCAGATGTTTCTTTTCACCTTCAGACAAAACATACTTAACGTGCCGTACTCTTATGAAACCATGAGTGATGGCTGTTTTCTGAAAGGGAAGTTTCCTTTTTATGTTATGAGGCCTCCGGACTTTTACCTCCTTTGACATTTACCTTCCTGGACCTTTAAAGCTGTTATTTTGTTTTCAGATATGAGAGCGTTAATGGTTGGCTGTCTGGATTTGGAAGTTAAGTGCTTGTCTATGGTGTGTGGTGAACTCCCCGTGCTTTCTAGCACTGGGGGTTCTGAGTGGGTGGAAAGAGAGGAGTGGGACTTGTGATGTAGCAACACAAGGGAATTGCCTCAGGCTGCCCAGACCCAAGAGAGTTGGCAGCTGCTGCGCATTTCATTGGTCCCTGTGTGTGAGCTGTCCACAGGAGAAGCCAGCTGGGGGATGGGCCCCTGTCTGGTCAGTGCTTCAAGGGAAGCCCAGGGATGTTTGGTGATTCAGCAGGTGGCAGCCTTCCAACTCTGAAGCCATGCTTTGGCCAAACCAGCTAGCTGCCAGCAAGCAAGTGCTTGTGCCTGCTATTGGAGGTGCCAGCTTTGGGGGAACCTCCAAGAGCTGCCTTCTCCCTGTAGCAACTCACTCTTTGTCCTGCTCTCTGTTAAGTGTGGAGGTCCTGTTATTTTGGGTTTCTTTCTGCATCATATTTTTGAGTTCTTTAGCTCTGTGACCTGCTTACTTGCAGGAGGTAGCAGCTGCTACCATGCACAGTTTAAGAAGTTAGTTATTCTGTAGCAAAAGATGATAAGGTGTACGTGGAGATTAGTTTTTTTTTTTATTTCTTCTTAGCAAAGACTAGATATTTATATTTTTATTAAAGTAAACTATTTCTACAACTCTTCAGTGCTGATAGTTATTCAAATATCTAGAATCATCTTTTTAAAAAAAATTCAACGAGTGGGTCATACTGACATTAAAAGGATAGAGTAATTAAGGCAACGTTTTATTCATTGGAGGAACCCTAACAATCTTGCACAGTGCCTAAATTGTAGATACTTAATAAAAGTTTTTTCAGCTGAAAATTTTTTTTGTAGTACAAGCTTGTCAGAATTGCTGTGTACCTACCTCCTCACTCATGTAAATGTAGAGTCTCTCTTCAAAATTGCAGAATAAAGTATCACATTTTCAGAAGTCAGATTTGCCTGTGTTGATTATAGTCTTTCAGTTTTAGCTTCAAAATTCAACCCTTTTTGTCCTTTCCCCTTTGGTTAGTGCCTTAATTTTCTACTTGTGGCATATAATGCACTTCCATTGGAAAAACATATGCTGTGCTAATGTATCTCATGAAAATTTAAAGGTCCTCTACAAACAGCTATCATACATTATTTTTAAGCTAAAAGATGTTCTGGCTGCATAGCAAGTCTGCTGTGTTTACAGAACTTTATATAAAATATTTCAGGGAAATCTGGAATTCCTAACTCTTTACATCCAATGAAAAGTGCTGCTTTAGAGAAGACAAACGTTTTGGTTATAAAATTTTTATATTTTATATAATATAATGATGATAATCTCTTCATTTTTTTTTTTGGAGGGGTGGAGGAGTGTTCAGCTAACTTTCTGTATTTTACCTTTGCTGTTTCTGTTCCTACTTTCACAGTAACTATTTCTTGTTGCCCTATAGACAGACTTTCCTCATGGATTTGCTTAATGGTGCCATCAGAGGATCTGTTGCACTTTTTCATACAAATTCAATCAGTGATGACTTTTTCCTCAGATTGTCCCATACATTTTCCTCTCACTTTGTATGGTAAACTTTTCAGTGACCCTTGCTGAAAGCTGTGGCCTATGCTCTTGTGGGGTCATGGTATATTATTGATGCCTTTTTCTTTGCCTGGGACCTAACCTAGTCCTCCAGAACCAGAACCATAAAACATCCATCAGTTTGGGTTTTCACATGTCCATTTTGGAGATACACATGCATGGGGATGTTGGCTAACTCTGCTATACAGGTATATGCCCAGGAACAGAATGACTGGGTAAGAGAAAACAAATACACCTGTTTTTATTAAATACTGTCAAATTGCCACAGCAGTCTCTTCTGGAGAACTTTTGGTATGCCTCGTCTTAGAGATTTTGGTCTTTCTGTTTAAGACTTAATTAAGAATATAAATGAGGAGGGAGAAAGACCAGGACAGGGATGGGAAGAACACAAGGGACCACGGTGATGGTGCATGGGTGAATTGGTGGTGGGGAGTTCATGGACACCATACATTGGACAAAAATGAAGGATGATATAATGAATATATTAAATAAAAAATAAAGTTTACGAGGATTGAACAAAAATATAAATGGTTATGTAATGTCTTCTACACGATGTTTGTAGAGGTCTGGTTTTAAAGTTTGTCATTTTGTTAAACTACTTTATCACCAGAGGACCAGATTTCTTTCTTTTTTTCTTTTTTTAAAAAATATTTATTTA